TATTCTTAGGAAAACAGAAATCCAGATAGTCTTAAACATGGACCTTTAACAACAATATAATACAGAAAGGAATGGCTCCACCTATATGATGAGCTGAATAAACTTCATGAACTCCAAAACTCTCCAAGTTTTTAAGTATTTAGAGCCAGAATCAAACTTTAGGGCTCCGAAATATTGCTGAATAGTAACCAAAAATCATAACTGCCTTGAACCCCAAATACTTCTCCTATTATTCTAGTACTTCAAAGTTTTATATAAATTAATGATAATTGAATCTCAGGTTCATGGTCTGGTACCTCACCGTCCCCATAGAGGAGCTATTACCATGGTGATAAGATTGCTTAAATTAAGCTGTCTTTTTCCACAGTACTTGGCTCATTTCCAGTGCAGTGAAGGGAGATTTCAGTCCATTCAGCACAGCATTAACCTTACTGCCAACACTGCTAAATGGGTTAGAGGGACGACAAAGAATTTTGATTTAAAAAAAGGAAGGAACAAGCAAATATGTAAAATAGTGAAGCACAAAACAGGAAAAAAAACCCCCACACCACTTTGAAACAAGATCAAAATTAGGTAAGTTTTGACAGGTAGACAGAAAACTTAAAAATTCTAATGCTTGGGTAATCTAAATGCATAACTTTACTCAAAATCAGCGTGTCCAATGGTTTATCCATGAGGGAACTGTAACAGAGTACAGGGCGGATCAGAAACAATGGCAGGTAAAAATCCCTATTTAACATCTAGTTTTTTCTTCTTATTTGGGAATTTGACTGGAGTGGGAAAATAAATAGCAAACACCAGAAAAAAAACCCCCAAAACAAACCAACAAACACACACACAAAAAAGCAAACAAATACTGAGTCAACTAACAGGGCATGTAGAAAATGAAAAACACTCGTTTGAATTGTCAGGGTTTAATACCTACTCCATAAAAAGCAGTAAGCTCTGCTCAGATGGGGCTGTCAGAGATAATGACAATGTATTACACTGTAAATCATAAGATTTGAAACATTAGAGCCAAGTATCTATGAAACCTGAAAAAAAACAATTATTGTAGTGGAAAGGAAGGGAATAGGCAATAGGTTGCAAGTACTTTATTCTGGGGGAGAAGAAAAAAAAAAATCGATTTATGTAAAAGCCCAATAACATTCCCCTAAAAAAAGAGAATCAATGTTTCCTGTGTTTTTATGTGGTGTGAGAGATCCTTGCAGTCTTTTTCTGGCAATACTTAGAAATTATTTTTCTGTGTGACAATGAAATTACTGCATGTTCATAAGTCATTTTAATAATGAATACTTTTTTTTTTCCCCAAAAAAACTGTGCGTGCATGCATACAGATAGAGCCGGCATCTGCATTTGCAGGCACATCACGGCGCTGACGGCTGCAGCGGTCAGTCGGCAGTTTGAGCTGTTACACCTCCTACAGGTACAGCTCCTCTCCAATTTCTTCATCAACAGCTAGTCTATGACATGCCCTCTGAAATTTGAAAGGTGTTCCTAATGCTTATTTTCCCTTAGGTTGCTTATAATCAGAGTAACTGCCAGAATTAGAGAACTGGCCTTGGCAAGGACACACAGCTAGGCTCTGTGCTTGGCTTTGCCAAAAGCTTGTGCGAACTTGAACAAGTAACGTCGCCTTTCCAAGTCAGTCTCCTCATTAAACAGTCGGGCCAGTAAGCTGGGTCCTGACAAAACTGTTTTGCGGATTAGTCCACGCATGTAACACCTCTAGAGGAAGCACAAGCCAGAATTTCTGATTTGTCATGTTTTTATAGAAAAGGGAAAAGTTTTATACTACAAAAAAACTTTCAGAACACATAGTTCAGTATACGTCTTTACTGCAGCCCTTTGCAGTCTAATCTAAGGTTTCAAATTCTAATTAGGTAAGAATACATGTTTAATCAGAGAACTGCAAACAGAATTTTCTTTTACATAAATATGTCATATTATCATTATAAGTAGACTCATAAACTTGCTTCACTTCTTACTGTCCAGAGTGAACGGGATTTACAGTCACACGATTAGTTTTAGGAAATCTTTTCCTGTCTGAAAATTCTCAAATATTACATGGCTGCAGATGAACCATGCAAACACATGTGCTGTGTATGGATTAACAGGAGAGGAAGAAAAGCTGAACACGTGCATTCTGATTTTTTTCCCAGTTATTACAGTAGGGAATACATTAGTGTCTAAATCTTCTTTTTGATTGCAAATTTTTCAAATTAAAAAAAAAAAATCTGCTTAGACATATTAGGTATGTACATATTAGGTTGAGTTGGTACTATTAAAGATTTAGCACAGAAACACAGCTGCCATTGACATGTTTCCCTTTATTTTGTAGGATTATTTTTAATGGGTAGCTAAACACTAACGGAGAAGGAAAACAAGAGAATCCAGACATTAGACCAAAGTATCTGTTCAATTCTAGCTGAATCATTCCCTGTTAAAGGAAGAAAAAACAAGCTGCAAGCTCTTCTTTTCCTCTAAGGCTGTGTTGTGTACTATAGACTTCTGGGAAGTGGTGATCACAAATGTTTTTTATTACAATGTTCCTCTGCTATATCACTTGTCTGCACATAAACTGCAGATACATCTTGGCAAACAGTCTCACAGATTCTGCTTTCAGATTATATAGCCTTTCAGCCAGCTGCATGAGAGGCTGCAGCCAGCTACCAGAGGGTGCACGAAATCAGCTGAAACAACCACCCAAGGGCAGGAATGCGGAAAATTCCCAGACTTTGTGAATCTCTAATGTGTAGCCCACGGTATGTTTTCCAGTCTGAATTCCTAATCCACTGCACAGCCCTTCCGTCAGTATCCAATGACATAATTATAGTTATAACTATATTTGTCCTTTATAAGAAGTTTCAAATTTGCAAAAATAATAAGAAACTGGAAAAATTAAACTGAACTCAAAAGAGCCTTAAAATCGCAAAGTATTTTCCCCAGTGAGGTCTGATGAGAATATAGCGAAGAGAGATGCAGAAAGGCTAAACAAGATCTATCTAATTCTTAATTGACGAGAACCAAAAGGTACTTAATGGGTACAGAACGCCCAGGGATCAGCCCTATATGCGGCAGAAAGTATAGATATATAAGCTTGTTACACCAGAAATGACAGAGGTTTATCTTTATAAAGATTGTGTAAACAGAGGCTTCTAGCTCTAGAAGGACTAATGGAACAAAAATTTTGTTTATGTTCCCTTTTGGAGAAAAGTTTTAATTTTCTTTGATTCTTTTTGTGATTTGTTCTTAAGACAAACAAGGAAAGTTTTATTTCAGAATAAATCAGTTTATTCTTCAATCACAACTTAATAGCCTTTCAGAGAAGAAAAAACTTAATTTGACACTTATGATCAGCAGCAGTTAAATGTTTAAAGATATATACTAAAATTAAGTTTTGTAATAAAATAAAAACTCATAAAACCCCCAAATTAATTGTGATAACTGGCCTTTGGACATAATGTGTCCCATGCACAACGCCTGATATTCTCTGGATCAGATTAGTTGGATGTCAGACGTTCACGTGTTTCACCACACACAACTTTCACAGAGTTACACACTACACGTTTTAAAATGCCAAAAGCCAAAGGAAACCCTAGTCAAAACTTCGTGGTGCTCTGTTCACCATGAAGAGGACGAACGTTGTAGAAAATCAAGGGCTTGTTTTAAACATCAAGTCAGCAAACACAGCTGTAGTTGAAAGCCATCAAATTAGCTAACATTTATCAAGAACGCAAAAAGCTTATTATAGCCAAAAAGTCAGAGGAAACTGTGCGTTTACCTCTGTGGCAGAACTTTGGGTACTGAAACACAGGCTTGCAGAATACAGAATGTATTTGCTTTCAATTATTTTGCAGAGTAGATTATTTGTGCAAATTGTGAATGATCCTGAATTTGAACTCTCCTGTTCCTGTCCTGGTTTTGGCAGGGATAGAGTTAATTTTCTTCCTAGTAGCAGGTCTAGTGCTGTGTTTTTGGTTTAGGATGAGAATAACGTTGGTAACACACTGATGTTTTAGCCGTTGCTAAGCAATGCTTACACTAAGTCAAGGACTTTTCAGCTTCTCACACTGCCCTGCCAGCGAGGAGGCTGGGGGTGCACGAGAAGCTGGGAGGGGACACGGCCAGGACAGCTGACCCCAACTGGCCAGAGGGACGTTCCATACCATATGGTGTCATACTCAGTATATAAACTGGAAGAAAGCTGGCCGGGGGGGCCGCTGCTTGGGGCACAGACTGGGCATCGGTCGGCTGGTGGTGAGCAATTGTTTTTCATTTTCCCCAGCTCCCAGGGGTAAGGCTCTCCATGCTCAATACCTGTCTTGGGCCCATATCATTTCTCCATTACCAAATGATTATCGATTTATATTCTTTGGGTATATATACAATAAAGTGTTTAAATATGCATTGAGGGAAATATTATTTTAGTATTATTTCCTATCTTTTCTTATCCACGGGAAAGCTACAGCCTGAACACTGACTCCAGAAGTGCCAGAGTACACTGATTAAACAAAACTTCTATTTGCTGATTACAAAATGGCCCTGGGAGAATGTGGGAGGGTGAGACAAGTTCACATGCACAAATCCTGACTGCACACAACTCTGGAATACTGATGTAACCTACACACCTTAAGTGTTCCAGGCCAGCTTGGATGGGGCTTTGGGCAACCTGGGCTAGTGGAGGGGGGCCCTGCCCCCGGCGGGAGGGGTGGCTTTAAGGTCCCTTCCAACCCAAACCAGTCTATGATTCTATAAATCAATGTCTTCCAAAACTTTGCAAAATGTGCTTTTATGAGCATTAACGATCTAGATCAATCAAGTAAATAAGGTCTCACATAACATGGACTCAAATCAAAAAGCATTGGCATGTCCTGAACGACAAACTTGTAATTCCCAATCCCCATCTCATGTCAACTCCAGCCCTCCTCTGTTTTTTTCGTTTTGTTTTTTTTTTTTAAACATTTAAGATACATTGTGTACAACAGGTTGGTCTGTACCTGGTTTCCAGCGGTATGTTGCTGTTCAAGACCCAGCTGTTATGGAGATGCACCGAATCTTGCGTACTGGTGGGGGGAGTCGGGGCAGCAGGACTGGGCTGGCTGCGGGTGGTCATTGATCTTCTCTGGAGAGAATCGGCTGTTGGAGGTGGTTTTCTGGTGCAGGTGCACGCATGCGGTGGTGGAGGTGGAGGCGGGAGGGGTCTGAAGGTGAATTGGTTGTGTGGGCTACCTGGCATATCTGAAACAACAAAGAAAAGGCAAAGAAACCCACAGAACATTATTATTTTAAAAAGATCAAGAGAGCATGAGCATGATATAATATTTGTTAGTATTAAAGCACTGTGCTTTATCATGTTGTTAACCTAGTTGCCTGTAAAATGTTGTTTCAATATATGAAATAATTTAAGATATAATACCCTACTGAAAGGACTATTAGACACAGACACACATCTTTTGGCACTGTAGTTCAGTAGTTCAACCAAAAAAAAAAAAAAAAAGAAAAAAGAAGATATAACATTCACTTAATTTCTCATAGGATGTTTTGGGGAGGAGGGTAAAGAACAAATAAATCAGGTTGACATTGAATTGCAGCACAGATACCAACTGATTTCATGAGGTATAAATCTCATTTAAAAACATCTGTGAAAGAAATAGACACAGTATAAGAATGAGTCTTGAACTTCAAATCAAGGGAGAAAATAACTGAGTAATTCCTACCACCTAGCAAATATCTTACATAAAACAAGGTTAACACATTTCTGTGAGTCCGTTAGCGCATTTGTTGAAGGAGACCTGGCAAAGGGCACTTTTACAGACTACCCGAAGCACTAACGACCCAGACACCCTGCGAGAAGGTTTTACGGCAGCTAAAGGCAGATGAGCTGGCAAGGAGCTCACAGGCACGGGACCAGGCAGTGAAGGTGACGGCGTGAAAGACGTGCGTGGTGGGTACCCGAGGTCCTGCTGCCTGTGCTGCTGCTGCCCTACAGGACCCCCAGCACTGCCCTCGAGCACCCGAGAGGGACATTGCAAGAGCACGGGTCCTGCCCTGTGCTAACGCTGCTACGCGGCGCCAGTGAGCTTGAATTCTCCTGCAAAAGACAACGAAGATACACATATGGTGTAACGGTACTTTGAAGGGACAATAAAATCTTGTTTTCTCTGCTTCCCACAAAAGTCTCCAAAGCCTCTCAGTAGAGCAAGAAACATAGCTATGGACAACTGAGGCAAGAAATTCCTTTTTCAAGGAACCATAACAGTTTGCAAAGAAGATGCTGTTGAAAATTGCTGCCAGATTGGGTGAACTGTGAAGCTATTAACCTGAAACTCTTCCAGCTAATTTACCTTAACGCGGCTTCGTCCCACTTCTATACTCACCCTCACTCTCCCTTGGACCTCAGCAGACGTCCAGTTAAATTTGCACAGAACCAGCTGGAGCAGAGCTCTGATGAACCTGCAAAAATTCCCTGCAAGGAACTGTTGTTGCCATCCATTTACAACACATGGTTTCTTTAAATTATGACACGATGTGTTTTCAAGGTGAAAGATGAAAGCATGCCCCTTCCCTTCTTGGAACGGCTGGTGGAAAAAAAGCACTTTTTTTCTCCGTGACAGCCACAATTTACCCCAACTGGAGAAACAAGGTTGTTTAGTGCTCCACATAAGCTTTTCTATGCTGCAGTAAGCAAAGCTGTCACGGATTTGGCCCAGACTTAATCCTTTTAATTTCATTGATCTTTTATCAAGGCAGCATTCTTACAGTTGCATTAAGGTTTACACTGTAATGTTAGTTTGCATATATCAGAAATGCATTTCTAAGCATATTAGAAAATTGGAGACCTCAGTAAATTAAATCACTGGAGTCAACAGCCCAGAGCTCTGAAATAATCTGCTAAGGCACTTTCATATAATAATTAATCTTGGTAAATCCTGTATCCTGCTATTTTAGAATTGAAAGCTACCCAAATTTTTGGACACAATATTTGATGTCCAGCATCCTCAAGTATTTGATCAATGTCATCCCTTTACTTAGTGGTATCAATCTTAAATCCACTCTACGGAAAATCTGCAGGATTATTATACATCCTGTAATTTGCATGACGAGACATTTTAATGGTTGTGCCACTGCCCTGTTAGAAAATTGCTGATCTTTGCCAGGACACGCAGTTAAGACTCTACAAGGTACATCAAAAGCTATGCAGTAAATGCCGAGCAGCCAAGGTGACTGCTTCTCTAGGTAAATGGGGGGGAAAAAAAAAAAAGTATCATCTATATGGCAGCGCATCTTTTAGTTCCTTTCTTCCCCTTTTATCTGTACCGTCCCTATCCTGTCGATAGCACGCAATTATCTGACAAATAGTTTAGTTTGTTCCATGCAATAGACTGGTTCTGCTTTGTGAACCATGAAGTATTTCTGGTTGGTACGGTACTTCATCTCTCCCAGTGCCATTTATCACAATACATTAACGCATCAGATTTCCTGGGGGATTCCTTTTTAATTATCACACTTGTCACCCCTTCGTCCAGCTACTGGCATCGCAGAAAACCTCACATCAGATTCTGAAGTATTTTGGTGATTTAAAGACAAGTCTTCTGCATCAGACCTTCACTTCAGTGAAACAATGCAAATTCATTATGCTGAGAATCAGCCAGAGTTTCCAATTAGTTTTTAGAGACTTTCTAATTTAGCAAAGTTATTTTTATTTTGCTTGAAACTAAGTCTACGTCTCATTAACTTTATTTTTATACCACAAAAAATGTTGCTTGGGATATAAAGCAGCATTATAACTAAATATGCATGCTTACGATTCTTCAGGACTCTGAATAAACACTAGACTCTGTAAAATAACTTAATGCAAAAATCATTTAAATACCTAAAAAGTGTTATTACACAACATAATTTGTCCAAAGCCAACAAGTTTTCAAAATGTATAGCAGTGATATAGAAATTAGCTCAACTATGAATTTTTATTCTGTTGCTATTGTTCAGCATAATGCTATCCATAACAACTCCTGGTTTTATTTTTAATGTTTGCTAATAATGTTCAGATTTTCAAATTTTTTTTTTAATCAATAAGTATATGTATGATATGCAAATATAGCGTTATTTGTTTTCAATGTGTTCATTGACATGGTAGAAGCTTCCATTCATCTAAAACTGTAACTATAAAACATGATTTCAGCTCAAACTTTACATTTAAAATAATTTGCTTCAAATCAGGTTTTCATCTGAGGAGCGTCCAAGCCAGAATTGACGCTCTTGGCCATCGCTATTGGCCTTCTCATCTGCACTTTGCATTTAGCCTATTTTTTTTTTTTTAACAGGCAGAAGAGGCTGTTCAGAAAATGTCTAAATTCTTTCCCCTGAGAATTCATTATTTTTAAATAGTTCTCTCATTTCAGCAAAGCATATCTAGAACTGTGATGTTTCCTGAAAAGATCTATACAACAAAGCAGCAGGATGCTGCATATCGGAGCTGCTTTGTTTTACTCTCGCTGGTGCACTCCCCATCCACTCCACAAACTGCACTTCCTCCCCTCCCCTCTTTTTTTTTTATTTTTAGTGGTTTTGCTTTCATTCGTCAATAACAACGCTAATTTCTTTAGCTTTTTTAATTCAAGACCCTTCCCAAAGTCCATGCATTCCCTCCAAAAGAGAAACTGCTGTATTGATGCTAGCTATAAACAAGAAAAACTACCCTCATAATTCTGTTAGTTGGCAGGATTTCTCCTTGCTCTCCTTTCTTTGAAGTTTGAAGGGAGGAGTTCTGCTTCCGTCCGGAACGTTTCTTCTCTGGTTCTAACTCATTCTTTTGGATGGCTCTTGCTCAATACAGAGCAGACACTGCTCCATGGCAGTTGTATAACGGAGCCTTGTATCCTACAGCTATGGAGCACAGACCTCAACAACTCCTCTTCAGCTGAATCCTACTACTACTGCTTCTTCCTTCAGGAGACTCAACAATTCAGATCTTGCTTTTTTTACTAGGCCTCTACTTAGCAGAAAGTGGAAGGTTAATTAACTTTGAGGGTCCCCTTACTCTGCCATGTTGGTCGAGCGCTGCCTTTCTGCTCAAAAGTTATTGGAGGCACAGAACAACGGACAGGAGCAGCGTTAACATCAACTAATTCTCCTTAAGAGTCAGGCTAAAATGCCTTTGTAATCATAAACGTGTACCTAAATTGCTCTATAGACTGACAAAAATGAAATAAGCAGCTTTATCAACTACTTAGCACCTGATTAAGAATTAGTTCTGAAGATAAGCCAGGCCTTTGCTGAAGTATTTTCCTAAGAGTCTTGAAAGTATACTTCGCTATACTTTTTGGATCCACATGGAAAGAAGAGGTAATTGAACTGTTTTATCATTTACTGACAAGACTACAATAGCCTGTATCGTTACTAAGTGAAGTATATCAAAGAGAATATATTAAAAGTAATGAACCTTAAAAAGGTTTGCATCTAACCTGTAGTGCTTTTGAGATATTTTAATTTTTTCAGTTCCTAAATTCATACTTTATTGGTATGTTTGGATTTTTATATTTTTTTAACTAGACGTGTCTCAGCTGAGTATGAATTAGCTTGCAATCCGTTATTTAATGAACAAAATAGCAACATATGTTCAGAGAGCTTAGTTTAGTTTATTTAAAAGGTCTACGGGTATGCTATTACTTAGTTACAAAGCAATCTGGAACTTCTCCTCAAGCAGAGATGAAGGAGGATAATGCTATTTATCAAAATAGAGCCTTGGAACAGGTAAATCTGCATCATGTCGGAAGATGTGTCTGACACCATCTAACAGCGTGGAAGGATTACGCCCAGAGCACCGTGCCCGGCTTATATAAACGGGCACTGAAGAACTGGAAAAGATTCAGTGCAGGGAAGACAGAGGATCTGAATGCTTAAGATTGGAGCTAAAAAGCAGAGAACAAAAATTCTCAATTTTACAATGAGATTTATGCTCTGGGTATAAGACAAACTGAGAATTAGATGTAGGTGCTACCATTGCAGAATGCTGGCTCTGCTACCTGTTAATATACTTGCTGATGCTGTGTAACTCTTTACACCCTTTCCTTCCATTCTAAATTTTAAATTATTCTTTTTCTATGTACGCACCAGTGACCTTACTAAGCCCCTAATTATTTTTTGCCTATCTCTGAATTCCTTTTATTTTTGCTGTCACATATTGTGAGAAAAGATGAATATGAAAAAAAATTGTGTATGAAATTGCTCTCTTGATG